GCGCTGCCCTGCGCCTCCCCCGCCCGCGCACCTTGGCTGGGGCAGGAAGGGCGCCCCGCCCCGCACCTGGGAGGCGCCGCTCCCTGCGCCCGCCCCAGCCCCAGCGCTGCTCTCCCGCCCGGGCAGGCTGCACCTCGCAGGGCAAGGAGAGACCCCGGCGACCCTCCAGGAGTGCCCCCCCCCAACCCCGGACCTTGCCCCTGTCCTGACTCGAGGCCGCGGACACACCCAAGGGGGTGAAGTTGATTCCTGCTCCCGTCAGGGTGGGAAACTAGCTTGCCTTCGTGGCTGTTATCAGGGATCCTGATTTTTTTTTCTGACAAAAAATTACACGGCAGGGGGCGTATCTGGGTCCATGCAGGTAGTTTTCCTTGAGTGCCCAGGGGATAACTGCTTTTCTGGCACGGTTTAGCACCCGCCGAGGTGTTGGGGCTTAAAGCCCACTTTATGGAAAGGGAGGCTCCTCTCTAGCTGCTCCTGGGGCCGTACGGCTGAGGGCAGGCGAAACTGGGCCTGCACGTAGGATGCCTGTCAAAAGACTTTGGAAATATCTAAAGCCCCGGTGGGGGTGGATGATGTTTGCCAGTTGTAGGGCCACTTATGGTTCTGGACTGACATACGGATTTGGACTTGATTTGGCTTGGGACACAAAACATTTCTTTAAAAAAAAATCCCCAATTTCAGGAATAAAAGTAGTAATCCCCAAATCCACATTTTTCTGTGATTAAAATAAAAACTTACTACACATCTAGATAGATAGATAGGCATTTCATTTTAATCACAAAAAACGTGGATCTTGGGTTTCCTTTTTTTAATCCAAAAATTGGGGGGGGGGTTCCTAAATCAGAGAAAACCAAGATCTTCATTGTCTGGGTGTTAATGACCCTCTTTCCTTTGTTTTTAATGGTCTTCCAATCAAGCTGCCCTTTGCTCTGCCATTCTGCTCTGTTAGCTGCTCCCCACACACCAGCTCCTAGTCACCACCCTGCAGCCTGTTGTGAAGTCTAGCTTAAAAGACCTTAACTCAGGTGTGGAAAACATTAACTCAGGTGAATATTAACTCAGGTGTGGGAATAACCTAGTGAAACTTTGCACTGTCAACCTGTTCAGGAAAGCTAGATTTGGTTTTATCATTATCACTCTGAAAAAAGAGGTGTGCATTTAATTCTAATGACCACAGAACAAAAGAAAGAACACCGTTTGCTTACTTTTGTCTAGTTTTTTTTTGTCCTTTTGTGCACAATATATGATATAGCAAAGTAACATACTTTCAATAAAATTATATTTGTTGTTGCTTTGATCTTAAACTGAATAATACAGCCCTGAGCCCTAGTAGATCAGTAAAGCTTCTAGTTTCGTTTTAACTGGAGAAAAGTGTGTTGTGTTCTGTGTGATGATGCAGCATGCTATCTGCACCCCACTTTTCAAAATCCTAGATCCACCTGTGCTTGGGGCCCAGTCCTGCTGCCTCTGGAGCAGGCAGGATTGGGCCCACCAGGAGATGCCTGAGCTCAGCCCCTTTCCAGCTGAGATCTAAATGGCTTATCTGCCACAAGGAGATGAACTCTAAACAGCCTTAACGTGATGCTAAAAGCAGAACCCCTAAGCCCCCAAGGGCCCTCCCGGGCCTTGTGCTCCACCTGGGCACATGGCCCACACCAAACTATTTGCAGGACTCCTCCAGTCCTTATTTTCTGTATTTCCTCTGAGAGTGCATTCCATGTACTTAATATTTGTTCCACATTTTTGTTCAAGGCATGGATTTTTTAAATTTCCTTTTCTTCATTAGTTACAATGAATTCCTCCCCTTTCTTCCCCCAAGCTACTGCAGACTTGAAACCAAAATCTTACGAAGTCAGACTTGTACAAGGGCTCACCTCTCAGCTCCTGTTCCATGTGATTGCATGTCAGTCTGCACAGATCCATGTGCAAGATCTAGCCTTCAAGAATGCAAAGAGTCCCATTGACTTTATTCACAGGAACCTAGGTAAAGGCTCATTCAGGTGCTTAGCTTTCCACATAGCTACTGCTCTCCTTGAAGCGTGCAAGTCTTCCTGAGATCAGGCTTTAATTCTCTGTGGAGCCAGGAATAGATATCAGGATCCTATCCTATACTCTAACAACAAGGCAATTTTCTAACCATATAAAGCACTATATTTTCAACATTTAAAATGTACCTGACTGTATTAATCATACAGTGGTTTACAGCAAACACTGGTTTAAAAGATGGCTTTCCTGCTAAGGAAATGTGTCCTTAAAATTAGGATTACCATATTTCCAGTTCCAAAAAAAAGACACACCCATGCCCTCCACACATACACGCATGCACGTGCACGTGATAGTCCCCAAGCCCTGGCCCTGTAACCCCCACCTCCCACAGACTAACCTGCATGCAACTCCTTGGGCTGCTCCCACACCACCCTCCCTGCCTGGCTACATGCCAGCCATCACGCATATGTGCCCTGCCTCTAGTTGCCCTCCCTCCACTCCCCCCAGCCCTAAACAGCTCCTTGCTAGGTCAAGCTAGGAAACACTTCTAAACTGAGCTGACCAAACTCCTGGACATCTGATCAGGAAGATCCAAAAAGAGGACATGTCTGGAAAAACCCAGAGGTATGGTAACCCTACTTAAAATATATACAAGGGGAGGGAATTTCCCTCCAAACAGGACTTAGCAGTAATATTGGTTTCTTTCCTTCTTTTTCTTTCATTCAATACTCAAAGTCTAGTACACTCTGCAGCTTGTTTTATGTTCCCCTGAAGAATTTGTTGGCAGCAAAGCCAAAGTTTTATTACACTGAGATGATATTATTAGCTTTAGTTTTTATTTACTTAATTTCTACCATAAGGTAGCAATCAAAGACAGAATGGAAAAACAACAGCCTCTGAATTTTCCCCATTTCTCCAGCTTGTCTGCCACTGGAAAGACTGTTTCTTCAAAACAGTGCTTGTGGGAAAACCAAACACACCTACTGCAATAACTGGAAAACTGAAACATGCATCTTAAAACAAAAAAAAACCTACATGAGAGAAAAGGAGCAGTGAAATGATATTCTTTCCTCCACATTTTTAATCAAGTTTTGTCTTTGTACCAGGCAAGCTGTTGAAAAAATTACAGTTACTGCCAGAGAAACATTATCTACCAGAGACAGCAAGCAGTAGTTGAAAAGAGTGACAAGTGGGATTTCATAAAGAAGATCAACAGTTGAACCTTCCCAACATGATCCTCAAGGCAGCTGCCTCCTCTATATGGATCAAAAACAATGTACCACACAGAAATATAGATATGATTCACATCCAACAGCATAAGAAAAACAGTAAGGGAATATTGGTGTTCCCTTTAATAGAATGAAAAGATTGCTGCTAGCCTAGCAAAACACCCCTATGCTTATGAAATCTAAAATCCTAGGAAAAACTGTGAGGTTGGGGTTAAGCCCATGCATGCTTTTACTCACAAGATAAAACACTGGAGTAAAGTTATGCATATGATTGAGTATTAGCAGGTTCAGAACTTAACCTGGAGCAAAATGTTGGTGAGTCTGGCCTGATTCATGCTAGTAAGTTTTTCTGGCATAGGCTAAATCAGAAAGGACTATGGGAAAAACTTACACCCTTCTCAACAGAACTGTTGGCTAAACTTCCTCTATGGATTTGCTTTGGTCAGTAGGAGCTTATGTCATTTGGGAAGATGGTTTGATTATAACAGCAAAAGTATTCCCTTTACCAATGTACACTGCATTTCCACTATAGATACAGACATTTTAATAAATTAGTTTAGCTTTTAACTGACACTGGGTGCGTCTACATGTGCACTTTAATGCACATTAGCCTACTTTAATGAGCATTAAAGCATCACTGCCACAATGGAGGTACTAGATTTAGCATGCATTGCCTAAAGCACATTAATGAATGTATACATGTGCCCACTGAGACCCAAATCTTGTTCACTATCCAGGCACCCTGCATTTGCCCCAGTGGAAAAGATGATACAGAGGTTTTTCAGACCAGTGATATCCAACCCATCACCACACAGCCAACTGGCAGACAGCCTCTTGCTTATGACACTGGCCTTATCAGTTGCAGAGGTATAGACAGCACTAATGAACATGTATCCCTTTTGGTTTGGATATTCTTGCACGCTGAAGTGCGATGGATCCTTGGCTGTTTATGCTGTGCTTGGTCACGTTTAAATGGGAATGGACTGACAGTCAAAATTGGTCCCCCACCATCTTCCAGATCAAAGAACCCATGCCATCTTTCAGCTCAAGTTCACCCACCCCACCCCTCACCACGCACTCTCTCCAGACATACAGCCTAATGACTGGCCTGGTACATGCCTTCCCAGCCTCCTCCCCACCACATCCCTCTCCAGGTACATGCATGGCAAACACAAAGAGAGAGAGGAATGTCATGCAGTAGCTGATTCCTTATCGTGCGAAAGCCTGTGATGGGACCGGGCCCCAGTGGCAGCCATGACACTCCCCTGATGGCCACACAGCTCCTGCCCCTTAGAATACCCTCCCTTTCTTCTCGCCTGTCATGCCTTGATGGAATAATTTGGTTACAAAAAGAGAGGCTGCCCCAGGGTTCCAGAGCAAGACCTCTTCTATTCCTCATCCCACATGTCTTCCCCAGACTCAGCTGATCTCAGTCTTGCCCCTCAAGCATTAAGTGGGACCTCCGGGTCCCATCTGTGCCCCTGGGGCACCAGTTGCCTTAAGGATTAGTCCTTCCATCCAGGCCTCATAGATATTACAAGTTATCACTTTGGCAGGGTCCCTCACCCCTCAGCACTGTTTGACCCCTCTGGCCTCAAAAGCATTGTTGGAGTGTCAGCCTTCCCAGACTCAACCCCTTTGTCTAGCTAGGTCCTTAGCCCAAGGCCCACAGTCCTGGGCCTCAGCTTGTAGGCCCCAGCCCTGGTCTCACTCTTCCCAGGCTCTGGCTGGCCCTCTTGGCTTCAAACCACCTCTATATTGTTCTCTCTAATTCAGGTTTTGGGTCTTCTGACTTCAGCCTGCCTCTGCTCACCCTTTCTGGGCTCTAGGCCCCTGGCCCTAGTCTCACCCTTCTTAGGCTATGGGTTCTGGCCCTCCCAGCCTCAGCCCACCTTTCAAGTCCCTTCTAGGTTCAGGCTATTGGCCCTCTTGACCTCAACTACTTATTTCTGGTGCCCAGGCCCCTGTCAGGGATCATGCCTTGTCATGTCTCTTGGCACCCCACTGTGGCTCAGGCTTTAGCCTTCCTGGCTTCTGTCTGCCTGTGTCTTGGGCCCCTGCCCCTGGCAGGACTCAAGACCTCATGCATCTTTCAGGAACCCCTGTGGTTCATACCCCTGCCCCTAGCAGGGCTCAATAGCACCCCTGTGGCTCCTCATCACCCCTTATAGCCACACCACACCTGGTCTGCCAATTTACTGGGTCTTAACTTTTCTGCAAGCCAAGATACCTCTTCCACTTTACTTGCAGGTCTCAGGGACATCTTGGGTGCTGGGCAGTTCCCCTCCTACAGTCATCCTGCTCAGGAACTCCTCCTCCTGTATTTGCAGGGCCAGATTGCAGTCCTGTTCTCCAGCACTGGTCTTATGTACCTCTAAAGCTCCACTCCTTTCTGTCTGGTGCCTTTACAGCCAGCCGCAGGAGTTTCCAATTAGGCCTGCCAGCTAGCCTGCCTTCCCCCACTGAAGATTAGTTCAGCTGCCTGCAGTTCCCTTCTGGGCTGCCTGGAGGTCTGCTCCTGGGTTGCTTGGATGTCTGCCCCCTGTGCAGCTAGCTCCCAGGACAGTCACTCCTTTCCACAGGAGCAGTTCCTAGCCTGGCTGATACCACCTGCTTAGTTCATCACAGCTGATCCTTGTTCAGTTAACTGTGCCCCCAGCGCTGGTGATGCGTAGGAGGTGCACATGCACTCCCTGAGCTTGACAATGCACCCCCTGCAAAAAGGTGCTGCCGACACTGCTGGTGGTGTCTGCGGGAGGTCTGCAATCACCACTGGTGGCTGCCGACGGTGCCAGCAGTGTTTGCGGGTGGTCACCAACCACAGGTCAGTGATCACCACCCCTCTCCCCCCGCTGCCAACACTGCTGGTGGTGTCTGCGGGCGGTCCACAATTGCCACTGCTGGCTGCCAATGCTGCCAGTGGCATCTGCAGGTGATTGCCAACCACCGGTCAGTGCTCACCACCTCCCACTCACCCCCAACAGCGCCATGGCTGTTAGCGGGTGCTCCTCACTTGCTGCTGCCAGCACTGCCACCTGTGGGAACTTGCCATGCCCCCCCAGACTCCAGGGACGTGTGGCGTTCATGGCCCCCAGCAAGCCTAATCTGTAGCAGCATTCCCCTATAGTAACAGGAGACTCTGGCTCCCTGTTACAGAGCCCCTGGGAGCATATTAGCGCAGCATTTCCTTCTGCTGCAGTAAGAACCACAGGCAAATAAATACAAACTAGTGTCCACACCCATATGCTGCCAACCCCTGCTAGGCAGAACTTAATGGCATGTATGCAGTACTACGCTAAATGACCATGCTGCTTTCAGTTCAGGAGTGAGCAAATATCGTGCATCTTGGGAGTGACAGCATGTCTCAGCACAGTGCTGCCTTGCACTGTATAAACCAGGAGCAGGCAAAATACAACCAGCCGGCCAGATGTGGCCCACCAAGCCATTCTGTCTGGCTTGCAGGGCCCCTAAAAAATTTAGAAAATTAATATTCATCTGCTCCTGGCTGCCTATCAAAGATGACAGGAGCCAGGGGCAGTAGAACCTAGGGGAAGCTGGTGGCAAGACCTAGCAGCCCAACGTGAAAGCGGTGGCAGGCAGCGGAAAGTAGAAGCGAGAGCAGTGCGCAGGAGTAGTGGTAGCTGGGCGGGAGTGTGAGGCCCACACTGGTGTCCCAGGGCCAGTGCCAGCAGGGCCTGGGGGGTGGGGGGACGGCAGCAGCATGAGGACCAGGCTGGCCGGGGCTCTATGGAGCCAAGCCAGGTTGCACCAGCAGGGAGAGGGGAGAGCTGGCCCGGCTCCAGATTCCCTGCTGGCCTGGGCCCTGTGCATATGTACTCCTGCCACCCCACTCTGGGCCCACTGCACTGGCCCTGGGGCTCCGGTGTAGGCCCCACACCCCCACCCAGCTGTCACTGCATTCCCACATACCCGCTCACTCCCATTCACCACCCCCCACCTGTAGCTGCCATTTCCTCACTTTCCTGCCCACCCCTGGCTATTCCAACACTATGTGGCTCCCAGCTTCATTGTCAGATCGTGGGAGTACAGGGCCCACACTGGTATCCCAGAACCAGGAGCAGGAGGGGAGGTGGGTGTTTGTGTGCATGCACCCATCTGTGCAATGCAGGAGGGAGGGAAGATGGGGAAGAGAGAGACAGAGAGAATAATGAAGGAGGGACAGTGTATGTGTGTATATATATGTGTGTTCATAGGGCACGTCCCACATGCACACCCCACCATACACATGCACCCATACCCCCCCTTGCACAGCCATACTTGCAGATCCCCACACCCATACCCCTCACACACCCTGGCCACCCTCTCCCCACACACTCACAAACTCCCACAAACCCCATGCCCACCCACACCCTACATAATTATTTACACAGACACCCACATGCTCCCTCACCCCACACACACACCCCTCATACCTATCCATGCTCTCACAAAACCTCCACACCCTCCCCCACACTGCACATACCCCCACAGGCCCCCACAAACCTATACCCACCCTCCATGCCCCTCACCCCCCCACAATATACAAGAATTCAGGAGTAAGCAAACATTGCATGTCTTGAGAGTGACAGCATGTCTCAGCACAGTGCTGCTTTGCACTGTATAAACGAGGAGCAGGAAAAATGCAACCAGTGGGCCAGATGTGGCCCACCAAGACAGAATGGCTTGACATTTTAAGCTATTGTGCAATCACCTCTATGTGCAAACACATGTAAACACATGTAAATCAGGACAAAAATATTTTTTTAAATCAAATTAATGAATGTTGTAGATATTTGATTTTTAGAATGTAATTTGGTGTTTTTCTGGTTCTGAGGTGGCAAAACCCATTGCTGAAAGAAGTATGTCTGGGGGTAAGGGGAGG